AGTTGAACATGAGTCAACAGTGTGATGTGGCAGCTAAAAATGCCAATGCGATTCTAGGCTGCATTAAAAGAAGTATAGTGTCTAGACTTCTGCCATATTAGTTAGGCCTCACCTGGATTACTGTGTCCAGTTCTTGGCACCACAATTCAAAAAGGATGTTAAGCTGGAGCATGTCCAGAGGAGGGCAACTAAAATGGTGATGGGTCTAGAAACCCTAAAGCCCTATGAGGAATGACTTAGGGAGCTGGGTATGTTTAGCCTGGAGAAGAGACTATTAAGAGATGATATAATAGCCTTGTTTAAATATTTGAAGGTGTGCCATGTTGAGGATGGAGCAAGCTTGTTTTCTGCTGCTTCAGAGAACAGGACATGGAGCAATGGATTCAAATTCTGGGAAAAGAGATTCCACCTCAACATTAGGAAGAATTTCCTGAGAGTAAGAGTTGTTTGACAGTGGAACATATTCCCTTGGAGCGTGGTGGAGTCTCCTTCTTTGGAGGTTTTCAGAAAGAGGCTAATGACCATCTTTTGACAATGTCTTGATGGTGTCTTCCTGCATGGCAGAATGGGTTGGACTGGGTGGCCCTTGGGGTCTATCCCAACTCTATATTTTTATGATTCTATGGTTTTGGCCAGGGTGTGAAGTTGATGACAGAAGCCTCTCAGTGGATAGTGTGTTTCTTTCCTTATGGAAGGGCACAGACTCATAGAACCATAGACCTGGAATGTGATCCCCTCAGAAGGTAGTGGGCTCTCATAGAAGCATAGACTTCTTGGGTTGGAAGGGTTCTCCAGAGGTCATCAAGTCCAACCTCCATCTCAGTGCAGCTAGAACATTCCCAGAGCTGTCCAGCTGCTTCATGAAGATGCCCAGAGAAGGAGATCTCACCACCTCCCAAGGTTATTGATTCCGTTGCCAAATCTCTTACTGTCAAGACCTTCCTTCTAATGCTTAATTGAAATCTATGTTCCTGTAACTTAAAATCATTAGACCTGCTTTTCCCCTCTGGGTCAGCAGAGAACAAGCCTGCACTAGAAAAACAAAGTCTTCACTGGCCAAGTAGAGAGACAGTGTAGTCTCCCATCAGAGGTTGGAAAAATTCACTTTTGTGGACTACCCATCCCAGAATCCCCAGACAGCATAGCTGCAGGTTGGAAATGGATTTTGTGAGTCTATAAAAGTAATTTGTTCAACTTCTGGTTCAGATTCCAAAACTCATCTACATTTAAAATGCCCTTAGTCAGTAATACCTGACAGCTTAGGGTTTCCTCTTTTTGTCTTTAAACTTGCACTTCTTAAGTCCTTTCCTTCCTTCCTTCCTTTTTCTGGGCTTGCCACTCCAAATGATTCTGCCCCACCAAGTATATTGGTGTAGGAAGGCAGTCCAATGTATGCATCAAGAAAAGTTGGATTTCAGAAAATGGCAAATAAATTATATCAGGTACTAGAGCACCACTTTTTGACAACTGAAAATCCTGCTCAAACTTCTGATGAGCTTTTGGTGATGTTTTAAAGCAGAGGTGGGAATCATGCAGGAGAGCCAGCATGGTGGAGTGGTCTGAGTGTTGGACCAGGACTTCAGGGTTCGAGTCCCCACTCAGCCATGGAAATCCGTTGGGTGACCTTGAGTAAGTCACACTCTCTCAGCCTCAGAGGAAGACAAGGGCAAACCTACCATGAATAAATCTTGCCAAGAAAACTGAGTCAGTATGGTGTATCAGCTTGAGTGTTGGACTACATCTCCATGAGATCAGGGACTGAATCCCCATTCAGCCAAGGAAACCCACTGAGAGACCTTGAGTAAGTCACACTCCCTCAGCCTTAGAAGAAGGCAATGGGAAACCTCCACTGAATAAATCATGCCAAGAAAACCCTAGAACAGGGACACCTTACGTTGGAAATGACTTGAGGCACACAACAACAACAACAACAACAAGAGAATAATGTAACCCTTCAGATGTTGTTGCACCTTCCAATAATTCTCACTGCTGTCTATGCTAGCAAGGGCTGCTGGGTTTTGTAGTTTATCAACATCTGGAGGTGTCAAATCAATAAATGTTTTGGATCTGCCATAATAAACAATACAAGGGTAAGGAGATAAATGATGTGGTGATATACTGATATAGGGAAGTATAGAGGAGTTGGAAGAGAAGTGTTATCAAATGGGAGAACAGATGGGCTATAGGAACGTTATTTTATGACCTTGTTTACTTCCTAGATCAAACTCTGATGGCCAGCAAAGTAACACCTTTTCTTCCTGGGGCAGATGTGGGTGATAGCAGAGTGAGGGGGGAACTGGACACTTGAAAGGACCTTTTTGACGTATCTCAAGGTGCTTGATCACGAGCCGGGAAAGGGGGTGCTGGAAGAGAAAGGGTTTTAAAGAGTGTATTGTGCTGGGGAAACTCAGATTGTACACTAACATGTCTGTAGCAACCTCTGTTTTGAAGTCCAAAATAAATTGTCAGTTAACCTCACTGCAATGTTTTCTTGGCTCTTCAAATCTTGGTCAGCTAAACCTAACAGGAGGGCCACACGATTCCCACCCAGATAAAAAGCTATGCTTGAAAGGCCCCACTCAGGGCTGAAAATGTACTTCTTTAAAATATTGGCCAAGATTCACAAGTTGCTGAATTTTGCAGTTTTTCTGTGCTTGGGTCAAATGGTAGAATGCCTATGGCATCTGTTCAGATTAATGGGGAGAATTTGGGTCAAGAGGGGGTGCTCTGGTGGATCAAGTGAGCTGTAGAGCTGATTCCATGGGGAAACCCCCCCAGAAACAGGATTCAGAAATACAGCAGTTCCTTCCTGTTGTTGTTGTTGTTGTTGTGTGCCGTCAAGTTGTTTCTGACTAATGGGGACCCTAAGGCAAACCTATCATGGAATTTGATGGCAACATTTTTTCAGAGGAGGTTTGCCATTGCCTTCCTCTGAAGTTAAGGGCCTATGACTTGTCCAAAGTCACCCAGTGGGATTCATGGCTAAGCTGGGAATCGAACTCTGGTCTCCAGAGTTGGAATCTAACACTCAAACTACTACACGACGCTGGTTCACCCTACAGTAGCATACTCTACAGAGGAAGGATCTGGCAAAACTACCTCTGAGTACTCTTTCCTTAAGAAGACCCCATGAAATCCATGGGGTTGCCATAAGTTGACAGATGACTTGAAGGCACATAAACACACACACAAGCATCAATATAATAACAACACCACATGCATCCTGCGAGATGCACAAAAGTTTGGAACACATTCCTTTTTCTGGACTTCAGATTCTGGAATCCATCATGTTAGGGCTGGGGGCTACTGGGAGTTATTGTTGTTGTTGTGTGTGTTCAAGTCCTTCCTGACCCTAAGGCAAAACTATCATAGGTTTTTGGGGGGCTGAGGGTATGTGACTTGGCTAAGGTCTCCCAGTGGGTTTCCATGGCTGAGCTGGGAATCGAAGCCTGGTCTCCAGAGTCATAGTCCAGTGCTCAAACCACTACACCGCCCTGGCTTTCCTTCTTCTGTCCACCCAGATGTCCTCCTTCCTTGTCTCCCAGGGACGTTTGGACAGTCGCTATGGAGGCTGGGCATACAGCACTTGCTCCCAGCAGAAGTGCCAGAGGAGATCCGCCGGGTGGGCTCCTTGCACACCATGAAGGTCCTGAATGAAGGCCGACGACCCCATTGGGAGTGAGTATACAGTCCCGTTGATGCGCAGCTTTCAGATTTAGCTCTCCAAGGATACGCAGGTGTCCAGTTTGCTGAAAAAAGAAGCAGGATCAATTCTTTCTCCTTCCAGAAAGAGATGTGGTGGATCCTGTTATGGATGCAATTTGGGTGAGCATTGGGATAACAGGGGGTTTCCACTTCAGAGGGGTTGTGAATCCAGACACTTTAAAGGAGCTAAGAGTAAGTGTTGGTTTGGGTGTTGGACTCTGACTCTGAAGACCAGGGTTCGATCCTCAGCTTGGCCATAAAACCCACTGGGTGACTTTCGGCAAGTCATACAATCTCAGTCTCAGGGGAAGTCAAGGGCAACCCCCCTGAACAAATCTTGCCAAGAAAACCTCATGATGGCCTTAGTGTCGCCAAAAGTCGGAAATGACTTGAAGGCACACAACAACAAACAGTGGTATATTTCCCAAGTGGTCGTGGAAACTCATGTGCAATTTTCACTGGAGATTTTTTTAGCCATTCTCTGGAGCCTTGTACAATTTTGCCTGGGAAGAAGAGGTACTCTTTTTTTTTTTAAATTAAACTTTTACTTTTATTACCATAAACACATATATTACATACATTACATATATACATTTAAACACATATATTAATGCATTCATCAAATTACATACATTATACCAGGGGTAGGCAACCTAAGGCCCAGGGGCCGGATACGGCCCAGCAAGGCCTTTGGACCGGCCCCAAACTGGTCCTGCCGCCGCCGCCCCCCCCACCGCCGCCGCCCCCCCATGATGATATTGATTATTGTTGTTATTACTTGTTCTTGGGGTTTTCTTGGCAAAATCTTCACAGGGGTTTTGCCATGGCTTTTCTGGGGCTGAGAGAGTGTGCATGCATTTTTTTTTAAAAAAAATTAATTCTTTTTTAATTTTAATTTTAATTTTTATTTATTTATTTATTTATTTATTTTTGGTGCTTTGGCCCGTCAATTGTCTGACGGACAGCAACCCGGCCCCCGGCTCAAAAAGGTTGCCTACCCCTGCATTATACATTACACTTAATACATACATTCCTCCCCCCACCCCGGGGAACACTCCATACATATCTCATTCACATACCAAAACATCTGAACTTTAACATTGACTATGTTGTCTTATTAACAAAGAAAAAAAATCGGCTTGATTAGATATGTGTTTTCTGTCCACTACTTTAACTTCATTGTTTGTTAATTTTCAGAGTTTATTGTATGTTATATTGTCTTGAATTTCCTAAACTTCTTTCTATTCGATGAGACTAATTATTTAAAGTTTTTTCTAACTTCTCTTCTAAGATTAATTATTACTTTGCTTCATTTTTGCCATGGTTCCTTATTTTTTTTCCATGACTAGCCACTTTTTCAATATTTGTCGCCTTTGTACTTATTATGCCTTTGGATGTTTAACTCCATTTTTCTTGACAGTCGTCCATGAGTCAATTCCATGTCTCATCAAAAGATTTACCAGTTTGTCCAACAAGTCAGTCTGTCTAGCTCAATCGTTTCAAGCATCTTTATTAACCAGTCGTCAATTGCTGGGACATTTTCTGATTTCCAGTCCGGGGCCAGTAATATTGAAACCATATACAGTTTTTTTAAAAATCTTCCATTGGTTATTTCTGCCTCAGGTTCTTACTTTGTTAGAAGGAGGTACTCTTTTTGGAGCTCTGTTGCCTATCTTCTCCCATCCTAGAATCACAGAATCATAGAATCATAGAATTATAGAGTTGGAAGAGACCCTAAGGGCCATCCAGTCCAGCCCCATTCTGCCATGCAGGAACTCCCAATCAAAGCATCCCCGACAGATGGCCTTCCAGCCTCTCCTTAAAGACCTCCAAGAAAGGAGACTCCACTACACTCCGAGGGAGAAATGTGTTCCACTGTCGAACAGCCCTTACTGTCAGGAAGTCCTCCCTAATGTTGAGGTGGAATCTCTTTTCCTGGAGCTTACATCCATTGTTTCGGGTCCTAGGGGGGAAGCAGACGGGCGGCACGGGGCCGCCCCAGAAAGCTACGCCACGGGGCTGAGGTATCCGCACACCTCGGCCCCGTGGTGCAGCTTCGCCGCCCCTGGAAGGAGCGCTAAAATAGTGCTCCTTCCACAAATCGCCGAAGGTGCACCACAAAAGGCTGCCGGCGTACCTTCGGCGACTCTTCCGCTGCAGCATGTATGGACGCTGCAGCGGGAGGTCATCCTCGGAGCACTGGCCATGCGGAGGGTCAGCTGCTCTGAGGACGTTTTGGGGGAGGGGTTGGGGCGCCCAGCGTGTGGCTGCCCCTCCCCTTCCTTGCTCTGAAGACGGCGCAAAGCTCTGTCTGCTTAGCCCCCTAGTCTCTGGAGCAGCAGAAAACAAGATTGCTCCATCCTTAATATGACATATTCCCTCCTCAATGTGACATATCCTGTTGTATCTAGGAGCACACGCAACATTGTCCATGCGCTGAGCCAACAGAAGAGGCAGCAGTCCATGCTGATGGATTTCCTGCATGGGAAGAAAGGTCTCAAGGGGGACGCAGCCAGCAGGATGCGGCAACTGATCCAGAAGGAGACCCGGATGGCCAAGGTCACGGACGAACAAATAGAGGCCTCCTTTCAGAAGTGGGAGGAATCTGGCAAGCAGGTAAGGAGTGCCACTGGCATCTCTCTGGAGACAGGGACATACCTCCGGAGATCTGCCCAAAGAAGATGAAATACTGTGGATCCTCCGCATTAGGGGCACAGGACCCCCGTGAAAGTGGAAAAACCGCAAATTAAAACAACAACAACAAACACATTATTTTTTTTAAACCTAAGAGAACACCTCTTTACGAATGTCTAGGTTCCCCCAAGACAACTCTATGGTCAACATCTGCAAAAAAAATAAAAAAATAAAAATAAAAATAAAAATAAAAATAAATGACCATAGAATTGAGCTAGAAGACCTACAAATGCTTAGAGAAGTGTTCTCTATAAGAATCTCAAGGTATTCCAGCATGACTTTATGGTCAACTTCTGGCAGAGTAGGGCTGGAGGACCTAGAGATTCCTAGAGAAGAACATATTAATCAAATCTGTGAATAATCAAATTAGCAAAAGTCAAATCCGCAAACACGGAGAGCTGACTGTATGTGCTTTTGATAGCAAAAACCATCATTACTCCATGTTGCTATCTAAGACTGGGGTGCTTGCAGTAAGGATGGAAGGAGTATTCAAAAATATTTGAAAAATGGCCATGTCTTGGAAAACCATGACAAGAAGTCTCCACACTGCAGAAATAAAGCAATTTGATACCACTTTAACTGCCATGGCCCAATGACATGGATTTCCTGGATTTGTCGTTTTGAGAGATATTTAGCCTTCTCTGTCAGAGAGCTCTGGTGCCACAACAAACTACAGATCCCAGGATTCCACAGCATTGAGCTATGGCAGTTAAAGTGGTGCCAAACTGCCATATTTCTGCAGTGTTGCATGGGTGAGATCCTTCCAGATTTGGGACATGCTCTGAGCAAAAAATGCATGTGTTTTGTTTTGGTTTTTTTTTGCACAGGAAAAGTGCTGAGAATGTTGTTTTCTGTGCAGTAGTGTTATTTCTTGTGCCAAAAATGCTGTTTTCTGTACAGTAGAACCATATGTATTTTCATGCTTTTTCTTTTGCACAGAATAAGTGCAGAAGTATGAATAGCCTTGGAAAACTGAACTGTTTTCTATCTATGGCTTTTTTGCATTGAGGATTAAAATAGTAAAAGTATTTGTTCTTGCCTGAGAGAATGAAATTTATGGAGATTTGCATCCTGAGCCTTCAGCTCTCAACAGCTGTTTTTGCATCCCTTAATGTCTCCAGAATCACTGGAACCATCCTTTTTCATCCCAAAATAAAATAAAATAAAATATGGCATGACTTTTCCTGGAATCCTCCACAACTGGCAATTTGTCTTTTAAACAGGTTGCAAGGGCCTCTCTGCCCTGTTTAATACAAAAATACCATTTTTCCCCCCAAAACGAGAGGTAGATTTCAGGAAAAAAAATTGTTTGTCTGTGTGATCCTTGCCCTGGGGGGAAGAAAAGAAAAGAAAAGAATTATTCTTAACTGTTTTAATATGTACTATTTTATACTGCATTTTATTCTTTTACTGGGTGATGCATTTTTAAAACTACTAGTTTAATTCCATTTTAGTGCTCACTTTTGCATGCTTTTAATTGTGTTGTTTTTTTAATTTGCAAGCCACTTTGTGCCCCAACTTTGGGAAAAAGGTGTGAAATAATAATAATAATAATAATAATAATAATAATAATAATAATAATGATGATGATGTGTGAATGGACCAGTAATGAGATAAGTGAAAGGCAGCTGTCTGCCCCAAGGAACTTACAAGTTTAATCAAACTGGTGTTTGGGAAGACAAGACAGGAAGGCAGAAGTGGAGATGTTGCTGTTGTTGTGTGCTTTCAAGCCATTTCCTTCTTACATTGAGCCAAACATGAGCCTATCATGGTGTTTTTCTCCGGCTGAGAGTGTGTCACTCTTCCAAGGTCACACAATGGGTTTCCATCACTGTAACAACAACCAAATATTATCATATGTAAAATGGTTAAAATAGTTTTAACTTAGGTTTTAATATTAATATTATTTAATTATTATTTTTTTAACTTTTGGAATTAATGCTTTAGTTTTATCTTTTTAGATTCTTGTAAGCTGCCTTGAATCCCATTTCATGAGAAAGGGCAGGATATAAATCCCCAAATAGTCATTGGTACTTGGTGGGTGTGAAGTAAGGAGAGAGGGTTGTGATGAAGAATTTTGTATTTTGAGGAAGGATTTGC